ATCTGAGCGGGCACCTGGCTCCTGCAGTCCCCATGGGCAGGCAGCTCAGCAGTGCTGTGGATTCTCTAAGGGCTGACTCCTTAAAACCATCCCTCTATTAGGCTGATGTGTGGTTGGGTTCTGCTCTTGCAGCACAAGGTTCCTGGCAGAGATACCTTCTTTGCCAACGTCACGAATGGACCACCGCCACCAGAAGAGTGATGGATCAGCTAGTAAAACAGCCCAGCACCATGGACCAAACAGAGTAAGATGCAAAGTAACAAAGAGATGAAAGTAAACAGTTTGGCACTTGGATTAAAAATGGGAAGTCTGAATACAGTAGAAGCAGGTCTTTTCTTCAAAGAAATCTATCTTAGTAGACCAGGACTTTGCCTATGTGTAGGATAGACTTTGGCATATAAAAATCACCAACATGCTGAAAACGGTTTGGCTCAGTGGATAGAGCATTGGCCTGTGGACTGAAAGGTCCCAGGTTCGATTCCAGTTGAGGGCATGTATCTGGAAATTATAAAGGTGTAATATGGTTATAGCTCCTATGGTTATACTCCAAAAATCAGTTGCAAGAGGCAGCTGATCGATGATTCTCTCTCATCGATGTTTCTAGCTCTCTATCCCTCTCTCTTCCTCTCTGTAAAAAATCAATAAAATATATATATATTTTTTAAAAATCACAACATTAGCAATTGGGCCCTAAGCCCTGTGATGGTGGGCCTCATTTGTAATTCTCATGTGTATCTCCAGAGCGTAGTACAATGCCTGTTATGAGGTGGTACTTGATTAATGAGCACTAAATAAATGTAAAAATCACTAAGAGGTGGGAGAACAGTAAGGCTTCAATAAGCCTAGGTTTTTAAAATATATCATGGAGTTGTGTCACTTTTGTGCTTCTTTCAAAGATGGTGGATGCTCTTCTCACTGGGCCTGACTACACCAAGCCCCTGCTTCACCCACTCCACCCTCTCCTTGCCTTTGCTAAAACATCTAGCCCCTTAGCTCAGTTAGTTGGCTACTCTAGTTGTCTAGCCCATTTCTGTTTTTACCAGTTAAGCTGTACATTTACCAAAGGACGTTTGTGTTTATTTCCAAGCCTGTTTGTTAGTTGCACTCATTATTGTATTTATGTAATTTAATTACTTATTACGTAAACTAATGAAATGTCTTTTCATAGGGAAAGAGCTGTGGTTTCTATGATAAGTTGAGTGTTTGGGAAGACTTTCTTGATAAAGATGAATAGATTAAAATAACTGTGAAATTAGAAATAAATAAGAACTGGAGACCAGGTGTGTGTGTGTTGTGTGTGGTGTGTGAAAATATATACAGGTCTAGAAGGATTATAGCACTTACTCTGCAAGTGTGTAAGTTCCTTCACTAAAAAAATAAAATCTGGAAATTATAAAGGTGTAATATGGTTATAGCTCCTACAAATAAAATGATGCAGAATGTCAATATAGGAATCCATCAATAATGAAAACAAGAGTCTCATGATACAATACCGGTCCCTTCTTCATATAATGCAATCCAAAATTCTCTATCCTAAGCTATTCAATCTCATAAAAAAAAAGTTGGTCATGACCCACTAAAGCAACTTCGTGACTCACAGTTTGAAAAGACAATGCCTTAATGCCACTCCTTAATCTTGTTGATGGGAGAACCGAGGTGCAGAGCGATTTAAGAGGGCTACATTAAGGTCACCCAGCTAGTGAGTCAGAACTATGGTCCCTGATTCCATATCCTCTGGCCTGTCTACTACCCTGAGCAACCTTCCATCTGTCCCAGCACAGTTTCCTTTGCAAAAAGTGGAAGGTAGCCCAGCCAGTGTGGCTCAGTGGTTGAGTGTCGACCCATGAACCAGGAGGTCATGGTTCTATTCCCAGCCAGATTACATACAGTTAGGGGTGTGCAGGAGGCAGCCAATCAATGATAACTGTGTAGTGTCTATCTCATTATTAATGTTTTTATCCCTATCTCCCTCTCCCTTTTATTTGGGAAAAAAGGAAGCTAAAATGAGGAATTGGACGACAAGGATAAATCCTAGAGCAGAAAGGAGAGTCCCTCCTTCTCTGAGGCTCGACATTCCTCTAAGCATGGAAGCGAGTCCCGGAACACACAGATATATGTGCTTTTATTCCCAAACTAAGACACACCAAGTCTCTTGTGCTAAAGTCACACACTCTGCACACTATTTGGACCAGTGCACCATGTACCTGGGTAGTACACGTGAGCCTTCTAATTTTAGAAGGACTGCAGCTCTACATGGGAAAACTCCAGATAATGGAATGGGGAAGCAGTTTGCATTCTGAGAAGCTTTTGTTTGGCAAGATGAGCAATAAACACAGATCCCTGGCTTGCTGTCTGACCCATGTTCTACCTGTTTCCCCAACAGGTAACACCTTCCAAGACTTTTTCCTATCATCTGCTTTGCCCTCCCTCTGTGCACCTCCAGCCCAAGCTCGCCCTCTCAACATAGCTACACCTAATGTCACCATCAAAATCTGACTACCACCTCCTCAAGCAAGCTGCTAATGGTGACCTTCCCCATGAGTGATACCACTGTGAATTTTCCGTGTTCTTTCATCACCACCACTGACACTAAATTAAGCAAGCCTTCAAACACTCCCCGATTCCATGTGGGTGGATTAGACACAGGCTAAAGGAAGGAGCAGTAGTTCAGAGGTTGAAAGAACCACCCTGAGTACCGTGATCATGCAAGGCAGAGAGCAGAGGGAAGCCTGGAGCCTGGCTCCCAGGTGCTTGAGCGAGGCCCTTACCACACCCCTCAGTCATTAGAGTCAGTCTCATGAAAACACGAGAACCAGATGGGCAGCCTGAGCACAACATTTAGGAGGGTGAAGCAAGGAGCCACCCAACAACTTAACCGGGTGCATTCTGTCCCTTTTAAGGGACATTAAAAGGTGCTTTTTGAAGATAGGTCATAACTCCTTCCTTGGAGGGTGTGACAGCTGTTCTCAGCTGTAGGTGCTGTCTCCCTCACTCTGCCTCCAGCTAATGTTTCTCTGCCTGCTCTACAAATCGACAACCAACCAGATAAAATGTTTTGTCCTACCCTCCAGACTATTGATGTCACGCCTGTGTAGCCTTAGGTCATTATGAGGCTCTCATGGGTTCCCATGCTGTGTTTTCACCTGCATAGTGGGCCCTATGAGGATAAGGACAGAGAAGGACTGTATAGTTTCGGAAAGAGTGTCTTGAAACTCGAGTGTAAAAAAGCATCTGGTTTCAAGAGAATTAAATACACGACAGTCACACTATCACTTCCCTACCTTGGGTCCAAGGTAGGCATCGCCAATGGATTACCACTCTATTTCCTAACAGCCTAAAGGCAGCCTAATAATCCTTCTCAACAAAGCTTTCTAAGTAGTCTCCACCAATTCATTAGAATGTGAAAAATCTTACAGGCCATTCCTGATTCAAGTCCAACAAATGAGGAAACTAAGATCCAAATAGGAGCCAGAATAATAACTTGCTCTGGGACTTGATAAATCTGAGACCAGCTGGGCCAAACCCCAGGATTTCTGACCTCCAGCTCAAGGCACGCAACCCTCCAAGTCCCACCCAAAGCAGGTGTCTGAGAAGCATTTATTGATGACAATAATGTCAGTTTTCTATACCTCTGGCATAATCTGCCCTGCACATTTGGGGATCTAAAAGAGAGGAAGACTGGAAGAAATCAATGAAACCTCAATAAAACAAGCCAAGGTTAACTGTCAAGTAATAAGAACGTGGAATTTTTCCCACAAGAATTACAAGAAAGCCATATGGGATCAGCCGCTATTCCTTCAAGCTCAGGTATCACCCTTGATTGGCACATGGAGTTTGCAATTTTCTCTCCTTGCTGGTCCATTGGAGTGGTTGAACTTGATCCCCAGTATGCCTGCAGTCCTGCTCCAGCACTCACTCAGGAAAGTATTAAACCCTTCTTATGTCCACTATTGTTTCTCATTCCTGTCAATGCTTAGAGTGCAGAGACCTGCAGATTTACACCATGGGCTAAGCACTTGTCACTTCTGTCCTAAAACAACCCATCTTTACACTTGAGTGGATAGATAGTCTGGGATTCAGTAAATGAGCCCACCGACATCCAGAGTATAAGCGGTTAGGAGGGATTCAGACGTGAAAGTCAGTCATGCAGTATATAAATGAGCATGTTTTACAAAGGTAAATATACATAGAAAGCAAGCTATGAAACCATGAAAGGAAATGCAAATTAAATGAAGTGCCACAAAATTGAAAGCATTATAACTTGAATGGAAGGCAACATAACTATCTAATGGAGAATACTTAATTCAATTACACATGTCCATTTTAATGGGACATCATGGTATTTTATAAGGATAAAATTAAGAACTTTCTTGAAACATAGAAAAGCACACACTTCCAAACCTTGAGTTTAAAATAGCAGGAATCAAAATGGTCTCCCCACTATGCCTCACTGTTAGTGTGTATGGACAAAAGTGATGTGCGAATGTAACGGGGATGCTTCTGCACACTCTGACCATGAGCGGTTTGCCTCCCCCATTCCCCAAACTTCTCAGTCTGTTTCTCCAGGGTCTTTAAAATGAAACAAGGAAAATGTGACTTACAAATGTCAAAAGACAAACCAGAGCATCACTAAACGAAGATCACCAGGAGGAGACAGACACAAGAGCTCAGGAATCTGGGCTCTTTTTTAGATGGATTATTAGATGAGTTAGGTTCAAGTTCTCAGGGTCTGCAGGCTGTTTTCCAGCACCCCGGCCCACACTGATTGTCTGAACAGAGAGATGGGTGGGGCTGAGCCCTGAGCGAGCAAATAGCTCCCGTAGCACAATCTTGGCCCATGGAAGGCCAAGCAGAGAGCGCTCAGGGTACCGCTGGGCATGAGCACAATAGCAGGAGCCCCAGAGGGAAGCTTAGGCTCCACAAACTGGCCAAGGTCTGCTCCCTTCCCATTATCCCCCATGCGCCACCCCACACCCAGGGGCTGAGGGGACAGGACTCACCACTCAAGGCAGACGTAGTGTTCTCCAGGGCCTGACACACAGCCAACACAAGACCTGAGGGGGCAGAAGAGAGAGAGGTGAGAGTCAGCTCAGCAGCATGTGACTTTCAGGATTTGAGGGCAGGAATCTTTCTGGAAAGGTAAAGACTAGGTAGTTTTGCAAGGCGGCCACAGGCAGGCTTGGCTACATCATTTGGGGGGCTCAGTGTGAAATGAAAATTCGGGGACCTTGTTCTAAGAGTAGGAACACTGTGCCATTAAAAGTACTAAACAGGAAGCTTTCTCCTTTCTTCCATGGTCTTTCTCTCTTCACCTTTCATGACGTTGTGTTTTTTGTTTGTTTGTTTGTTTATACCATATAAATATTTCTATTGTGGTTTTATATTTATATATATATATATATATATATATATATATATATATATATATAATTTACTACATTAACCATTTAAAGCGTAGAGTTTAGTGGCATCAAGTACATTATTGTGCATGTGATGATATTTTCTATTTGCTACGTGTCACTTCTGTCTCTGAAGTGTGGGGATAACTGCAAGATGAGCAGAGCCCCTCACAGGCACAGGGACCCCAGCGACATAGCATGCAAGGCACGTGCGACCACCGGCTGGCGGTAACCTTCCATGAGCACCTGGTGGATACGCAGTGACCTGGTAGAGGCACAAAGTCTAGTCAGCTGTTTCTTCTTTCTAAGGGCCAGGCGCCCCAATCAGAGGTGGACAGGTGACCCCCCAAAGGTATTACAACCTCTGCACCAGGATGTATTAGGTACCTAAATCAGGGATAGGGGAGAGGCTCATGCCTATCTAGTCATCCACTGATCATCATGAGGACAGCTGCCACCAAGTCCTTTCCCTAGATGCCCTGGCTGCATGCACCTAACCTCAACCATTTAAAAAAATATATATTTTATTGATTTTTTTACAGAGAGGAAGGGAGAGGGATAGAGAGTTAGAAACATCGTTGACAGAGAAACATTGATCAGATGCCTCCTGCACACCCCCCACGGGGATGTGCCTGCAACCAAGGTACATGCTCTTGACCGGAATCGAACCCGAGACCCTTCAGTCTGCAGGCCGATGCTTTATCCAGTGACCCAAACTGGTTTCGGCAACCTCAACCATTTTTGTGTTCACATCCAACCAGGGGAAGCAGGAGGTGGGATCACATGCCCCTGTGCACACTCCATTGTCCCTCTGGACCTCACTTAGGAGATACCAAGAATTTCAAGACGGCAGCCGCAGCATCAGCCTCTTGCCCAGGGCCTATCTGAGCGTGAGACTCTGCGGCTACACAAGTCACATGCCCATGAAGCCACCCCTGTCAACGGATGACCTTGGGTGCCCAGATGTTACCGTAGCAGAGGTTTCTGGAAACACTGCAGCAAATTTCCAATGAAAAAGGAACCTCTTATGCGTTATGCAATCAGCATGAACTGAGATACAACGACTTCCTGAAACTGAAATGCAAAAGATGCCACACAGAGTCTGGGCCGCCAAGAGGTTTGCCTGGAAGGCAGATGAATCAAGTCATGCAGAAAACGAGCTCAGTCCTTCACCGTGACCCCTCCGCAGCGCAGGACCAGGGCAAACTCCACCATGCACGTGGGGTCTGTATTCCTCTTCCACTCGGGGGTAGACAAAGAAGCCTTGACTCTCAGTGAAGAAACACGTTTGGAACAGAAAGAGCAGCCATGCTCACAACTCTCCTGGGCCAGCTATTTGGCCTGGAGCCAGGGGGCTGGGGGCAAGAAGAGAAAATGAGTAAAATCATCCTGTCTCCCCAGTGCAATTCTTTTGTGCTGCTCAATAGACACCACTTTTGGAAGCACAGCCCGTAGGTTCCCTGGACATATGTAAAAGGCTCAGTTTGTAATCCACACACCAAGCGCTGGAGTGAGGCTTTCCTGCCAGAGCCAGAAGTCTTAGTGGTTCCACACTGTCAGCTGGGACCTGTCACACTGACTCTGCTGGCACTGCCACAAACCGCTCAGGGCCAGAGCCAGCCAGCGAACCTGTGGCAGCATAACAACGTGGGGATGCTTGGCATACCTCTCTTCAAGAAGTGCCACTGGCCAGTCACAAACTGTCCCCGGACGGATGAGTTATCCTGCCACTTCCCTCCCTGGGCCTGCATTCCGTAAGTCAGCGGAAGTCCAGTTCCTGGGCTCCACGTCGGCCTCTGCGTAAGCAGAACCAAGACAAGAAAGCAAATATCGTCCAACTGCTGCCAGGACAGAGCAGAAACATCACTAACTCTCCGGGGTTGGGGAAGGGCCGCCCCTCAGCCTTGGGGCACGGCACGTTACTTGCCCCCTCTGCTCCTCCTCTGGGAACTAACCAGAGTCTGCAAACCCACCTTGTTCCACAGATGAAAGACGCTGGGTTTTGATTCATAATCTGAGCAATGTGAGAAGACTAGTTCCATTGAACTAGTTCTCTGGGCTTGTCTCTATAATCTTGATTGAGGCACAACTCAGCCAAGCTGTGATGAAAGGTGAGGCCTCTGCTACTTCACCACGTGGTGAGCTCCCTAAGAAGGTCCCAGACCAAAAAAGTAGGGTCACGTGTTTCACTTCTCAAGTGGGTGTGTACCACTTAGTGGGCATATGCCAGCACTTTTATTTATTTATTTATTTATTAATATATTTTATTGAGTTTTTATAGAGAGGAAGAGAGAGGGATAGAGAGAAATATCTCTGAGAGAGAATCATTGATCAGTTGCCTCTTGCACACCCCCTATTGGGGATGTGCCCACAACCAAGGTACATGCCCTTGACCGGAATTGAACCTGGGACCTTTCGTCCGCAGGCCGATGCTCTATCCACTGAGCCAAACCGGTTTCGGCATGCCAGCACCTTTAAATGGGTTGTCTTCGTAATAACCCACAATACAGGCACCTCCCAGCCCTTCGCCTTCTGGTCCAGCCCTTGGAAACACGTGGTTTTACAGACGAGGAAACTGAGGCTTAGAGAAGTTCAGAGATGCGCCCGAGCTCTTGCAGCCCAATTCAAACTCAAGTCTGTCCAACTCCTGTGCCCGAGACAGAGTTTAATTTCCACACACACAATAGTCCTTCCGATCACAGCCTGTCATGACGTATTGGTAGGTATATATTTGCCAGTGACAGCCTCCAAAATGAGTCCAAACAGTAGATTCAGCAGGTCTAACATCGAAGCTGGAGCCCTCTCTTCCGGAGGCCACATCCATTGCCTCTTGGGAATTTCCACAGCCTCCACCCCCCCCCCCCTCTGTGAACAAGGCCTCCTAAGGGGCAAGGGCGTGAACGTCCAAACCCCCGACTGCCAATCTGCGTAAGGCCAGGTGTCCAGACTGCCGGCAGCCCTGGTTGTGCTTGGAAAGCCTGGCTCTGTGAAGGCCTTCCAGAAACATGTGGCCTCTGAGGCGCATCAGAGACACAGGAAGTCCTTCCCTGGAGCACCTGTGCGGGTTCAGCGCGGCCCTGGGACAGCGGCCACGCCCGCTGGCTCCAGGGAGACCAGGCACAGCTCAGACAGAGGCTTGTGGCCCGAAGCCACAGGCACCTCTCGCTTGAGTTTCAAAGCTCGACCTCTCCTGCCACAGGCCACCCAGGCAGCCTCCTTCGGGGGCAGGCATCCTTTCAAGTGGCTCCTGCCAGCATCCCATTTCTGTTTAAATAGTTCCAGAGAGGGGAATCCCTGGATTATGGACTTAAAAAAAAAGGTGAGGGATTGGTGAGGGAAAACCACACACAACGAAAGGAAAGCCTTAAGAAAGGCTGATCATCCCCCATCCCACGTAGAGTGGGAACCAGACCTGCCCTCCAGGAAAGATGAGGGCTGCAATGCTTATACCTCAGCTGTTAGGAAGGCAGGAAGAAGTTCCAGCAGAAAGAATGTGGAGAGAGGGGAGGCTATTAATCTCATGAGTACACATAATGGAGCCATCGTGAAACCCACTCACAGGTGCGTCAATGGGAAGTGCTGTTGAGAGGTGCTGGGAGCCCATCTTCCCCGGGCCACAAAGCAGGGAGCCCTCCCCCAAACCTCTGTGCAGCCTCTCACTCATGCATGGGATAGACACTTGGGCTGTGCCTTCAGCACGGGACACCCTCCCTCCTTTCCCACTCATCAGCCTGGTGGCTGTCTCCTCTGTGGACACTCAGCGCTGGCGCTGGCTCACACAGCAGAGTGGACCATGCCCGGCTCTGGCCTCTATCACAGCCTGTGTTTGCTTCCAGGCTCTTACCGACTTCACTGTGCTGGTCAGTGAGCTGTCCTCCAAGAAAATCAAGAGCTCCATATTTCCTCCATTTTAGGGTCCCCCATGCCAGGCTTTCTACACAGGGGGTGAAGGTGAGGTTTTGGTATCAGGGAGATGTGGGGAGGATGGAGAGAGGTTGCAGCAGGTCCTTTGGATGAAGGATGCCCTCGAGTTAGAGGAGGTGGTGAGGAAAGGCATATGGGAAAGAACGGATGCAGGCAGGAGGAGCAGGAGTCAGGCAAGAGAGATGCAGAAAGGAGTGAGGGTGTTTGGGGGGCAGCTAGGATCTCCCCTTCCTCTCCTAACATGCTCTGGGGTCACAGGGACAGAGCGAGGAGCTCAGGTAGTGGTGGGTGGTCCCTAGAAGGCAAGAATCCCACAGCTCAGCATGTGGTCCATAGGGGCTACCCCCAGAGCAGCCATGTGGGCATGAACAAGTGTGTAAATGGGTCACATGGAACCCAGGACCTGCTGGTACAGGTTTTAAGGCCTCTTCCCTCATGAATTACATCCCAACATTAAATTTTATCTGCAAACATGGCCGGATTTTAACTGCATAGCAGAAACTGCAATGTTTTAGGGCTTTAACAGGATTTTTTAAATGCAAGAGGTTTTGACAATCTGGTGAAGATGCAGGTTGCAGGGTAAGACCTGATTAGGAAGAATGGTTGGAGGAGCAGAGAGGAGGCCAGGAGACCACAAGCTCTCCCTGTGACAATATCCATAAACGCAGAAAGCAGTCCCGGCATCCGCCATCGCCCAGCACAGGGAGGCCAGCCCTCAGAGAGGCCATGGT